TTAAATATAGGCTATTTTTTCATAAGGAGAAGTCAGCAACTACAACAGTATGTAAAGCTACGGAAAAGATTAAATGTATTTTTACAAGAATATAAAGCAAAAGGTATAATTAAAAGGTTTGATATTGGAAGAAAAAAATATACTTAGGAATTTAAATAGTTGAAAATTATATTTAGTTAGCTTAATATTTTTGATATATATATATATATTTCTTTAAATAAAGTATCTATTTAAATGGTTATTTTATATTGAACTAATAAGATAGTTATAGATGAATAAAATATTGACCCATGGTAAAACTTTACATTATCAAGAATTGAATGCTAAACATACTAAACATTTGCAAGTTAAGATTATGGGAACCTCGTTGAAGTGGGTATTCTTCTTCCATAATATTATCCAAAGAAGAACACCCTCAATACTTTTGGGAAAATGTGACCGTCAGTGAAAAATTATTCACGTGATTTCCCTTACCCAAAGTAAATGAAATTTTTTCAGCCTTCTGGTTCTTAGAAATAAATCTTACCACCAATTATATACACATTCGAATTAATTTAAAATAATAAATAATTATGAATTATCGTTCAGCCCAATAAGATCATGCAGATTTTCATAGACCGACATTTTTATTAGGACATAACAATAAGGACAGTGACATTTATTACATAATATCCATTTACTATAAGCCCATACGGCCATACTCCCCCACCCCATGTAATATGAAAAATCTTACGTTACACTTATATGTTATATGACCTTTAAATACCCTCCCACCCCTAAAATATTACGTAATAAATGTCACTGCCCTAACAACATGATTGATATAATAAAGTGGAGTAAAAAAATATGGTGTAAATGAATATTTTTTAGGAAAGTTTAAATAAAGCTTATAAAGTAGATTAAAAATAGAATTTATGGAAAGTTAAATAAAACAAGTCAGCTCATGGTACGTATAAAGTTTTGCCAAGAAATTTGGCCAATGGGTTGTCAGTGAAATCTTCAGGTTATGAAACTGTTTCCTCGGGAAATGATTTTTCACGTCAAATTACTTACTGTCTTAACTCTTAACCTGGTTGTTGCACTACAGAGTTTGATGTCATCGTTAGTCCAAAACAGATGAAGAGTTTCAAGTTGACCATGAATATTAAATATGCAACTCTTGAAGCTCCCAAAAACTCCATACGTGCTATAAATCAGACACCAGCACTCGAGAATGATGGAGTAGTACTTAACATGCTAAATTACAGCGGAAAATATTCACCTAGGACTGATCAAGACCTTCGTGAAATGTTTCAGCTGTTCGTGTCAAAAAGCAGCTTCAAAGATTACTGTACTCATTGAGACTCCCTCAAAGCCCTTCAACGAAGTAATGATCTGAACCCTAACATTAACATGTATCCCGTTTTGTGGATGTGTCAACACAAAGAATGAGAAATATAAAGAAGTGTTGCATAAACTTTTTGATGAATTGAGACTCGAGTTGCAACAACTCCTATTGACGTATCCCATGAGGCCACCAAAAGTATCTACTCGTATACTTATCTCGTCTCTGCAACTTACCCGTTCAAGGATCAAGTCCAAGTACAAGAGAAGCTAATCAAGAGAAAAAATGGGCGTGGGAATCTTGACTATGGTATTGAATCATGTACGACCAGGAGAATTATCAGTCTAATTGAGGTCAAAAAAGATGACCTTAAGCAGGGTTTTGCACAAGCTATCATACAATTGGATTCATCACTAGGTCAAATGAAATGGATAATGGACATGGGTTTGATAAAGTATGGGGATCGTAACAAATGCGAAGAAATGGTACTTTCATGGAATGTACGCAAGATGCTGAAGGGACTATCGTTTAAATTGTCAAAGCCACCTCTGTTTGTTGTGCAGGTATGAAAGACATGGTTGAGAAGGTTCTTGGTCATATTATCTGGTTATTGGAAGAGCCACAAAAGGCGGATTCAGCTGTTAATTTTGAGGAATAAAAAGTGTAGATCATTGGGCAGTCTTGCGGAAAAGTCAGATACTGTAGTTAAGTCTTAGCATAGCATGGGTCAGTCGTTAAATCATGTATCATGAGCAAAGTCCCAAGCTTTTGCTTCTACGAAGCGCTCTATAGGAGCTGTATTTATTTTTACATGTACGGGCGCTGGTCTGAACCTTTGTATTTATTTTTTATCCTCCAGTATATAATAAAAAAAAACATTATAAGAACAGTCAATTCGCTATATAAAATGAGGCAGGTAGTGGTGTCTCAAGGGCGATGCAAAAAATGATCTAAAAAAAAAATACTTTCTATTGATTATGGCCCAATAAAAACTTCATGTACAGCGGGTGGGTACTCGGGTACTCTTTATAAAATATTTACCTGAGTTAAACTCAATAACTATTACATGGTATCAAATACCAAAAGTACCTATGGTAAACGCTGTTTAATCATCATAGAATTTCACAACAATCTATGCTTGACCCGGAATGGGTGTTTGGAAATCAGGAATGCAACTATTGTTGTATTTTGTAATAATACTATAGTTTCATTGAATTTAACAAAAATAAAAAGATTTTATTTGAACGTCAATGGTTGTTTGATACCTTTATAATTCTATAATTTTTTTTTCGATATTATAATCATGCAGTATAATAACTAAATTCGATTTTTGTTTTAAAATCCAATTATTTTTAAGAGTGTGCATGGGAAGGTTAAAAGACAGAATATATTGAATTAAGAAAAGCAAATAAAAGTAATGATCATATGTTTCAATAATATGTTGATTGTTGCATTTTTGAATTAAATTATAATAATTAAGACAGCAATAATCTTACCTTCAATGTCAACCTCAAAACCATCACTTTTGACATTTATTTATTTTAGAGTGATACGTGATGTTGTACCTTCATTCTGTCATCATGTTAAAATAACAAAATAAAATTATTTGCGCAAAAAAATACTACATATATGTGGCAAATCAAATTGTTTCACAACACTCTGGATTATAATGAATAGAGAAATAAATTAACAAACAGGAAGACACTATACCAAACCCAATGGAAAACTGAAAACAAACTAATTAGCAAGTAAGAAAATCACCTCCAAGAATTGAACTTGGACACAGAAATTGTGGAACCAACGGCGATGGATAATTGTTGAGTTAATAAGTTATTAAGGAAAGAACTCAACAAAAGAATAAAATAAAGGGTATCACATGTGAAGAATGAAATCACATGAG